ACAATAGACTATTAACAAGTTAATGAGAAGATTTGCCGCTTAGTAGCTTTTTTTGAAGATGTAAGGATACATTTTGTGGAATCTCATTGCAAAAAAAGCATTATGAATTGCTTACAAGCATTGCAGATTTTTATAGAAATGGAAACTGCATGAAGCCAAGGGAAACTGAGGCCATATATACTGTACAACCAAAAGGAAAACAGCTCCAAGTTTTAGATCTTCATTCCTTCCAATAAATATAAGCTTATCTTCCACTGTTATTAATAGACTGTGAATTTAAGATAACTTTCCTATTTTAAAAGTTAAACATTTTGAAGCAGTTTTCTAACCTTTTCAGAGAAATACTGAAGTTAGCTCCTGTGATGTTTTTGGAGGAAGTGGAACAAGGAAGCAGAGTCTCAGAATTCTTATAAGATGATATATGAAACCTTTCTTCCTTCCAGAAAAAGATTTAATGTATGTTTGGTATTTCAAGAACAGATAAGGTCATAAGACCTTTTTAAATAGCGCATGCTGTACTTATCTATTTATATATCAAATTATTAAGCATGAATATTCAGAAATCAAATTAACTGAGGCAAATTACATGTACCTAGTCAACTTCATTGAACTCAATCATATATCTGTGTAATGTATAGTTGGATTACAAAATATTTGCAAGTGTGAAAGTCAGTTTCATCCAGTATACAGTATGTTACAGAAATTGAATTCAGTTCATAGAAATTATGGTAAACTGAAACAGTAAGTTATATGACAATATATTTTATGTTTTCTCTATGTGCCTTAAACAATAAAATAAATTCATTTCTATTTTAGTCCTTTTATGTTTTTAAAATGTTAATGTATATTAAAATATTGGACCCTGAACTCTATCTTTAAGGTTCTGTTCTTAGCAAACTGTCCAGTTCTAAGACTTTACTATGTTTAAATGAGATTAATCTTGTGCTTTTAGCTCATTGTACTGTAATTTTGTCAAAAATGACATAAAAGCCTTAATGTTGCTTGGCAACTGAAATGAAGTTAATGGGAAACTAATCATATTATGGGAATACAGAACTTGTTTAGAACTCTTAGAATGCTAATTTAGTTAACAAGAGCTGATTGTTTTTAACTATCATAAAGCAGCTATCAATAATTTAACATTTACCATAGAAACAATTAAATGAAAATTCAGTGTCAATTGTTTTTTTTAAAAGTTCAAAATTAGAGACAGATTCACTGACTGTTAATAAGCTAAAGGAGCATTTATTTAAAATGTATAATATCATATAATATCATGAAGCCCGCTGAGTTTAAAATTGTAATTTTAATGTTTGGAAATGTATGACTGAAATCCTATTTTATATATTTAAAGGTTGTAAATGTTATTTAGGTTCCTTTTTTACAGAAATATTATTAATCTTTTTTCCCTAAGGACTTCATTAATAATCACGCCAGAAAACAAGGAGTTTGGCAAATTCTAAAAAGATTCAGGAACACATGAATTGCGTAAATTTGCTTTCTAATTGGAAAAATGAGCTTAGGTTTTAATGAAAAGTAAACGTATGGATAATATTCACATATCTTGCAGTTTATTCTTATATCCATTTGTATGTTTATTATTTTTATTTATACATCACTTGGTATAATTTTCTCAAAGGTGCCCTGAATGGCACTCAGTAATTCAAAATACCAGCAGAAGGAAACTAATTCAATATTACCAACAGAGGTGGTATTCAGCCGATTCGAACTGGTTCAGGGGACCCGGTAACGGAAATTTTGAGTAGTTCGGAGAACTGGCAAATACCATCTCTGGTTGGCCCCGACCTCCCACCCCTGGCGTTTCCTTTCCTATATTCCCTTGTTTTTTAGCTCAGCTGATTCGCATTGCAGAATGGATTGCCGCACCTCAGGCTGAGCTAAAATACAGCTCAGCTCACCAGCACTGTCACTGAAGGCAGTCGTTGAGTGCTGTGTGTGCGTGCAAAGCGCTCTCTCAAAGAACCAGTAGGAAAAGATTTGGAATCCTACCACTGGTTACCAATCCAATATTATAACATGTAATAATTTATAGTTTATCTTGTTAACATTTACATGAAGTTGACCCTCAGATTTGAAAAAATTTAATGCATCTTTTGTGCAGTAAGGCTCCTGAATAAATAATAATATATCATTCCATGTTTGCTAAATTAAAACTAGTCTCTTTCCTATATAAGTGAAACACTTAATGTTATCCTAGTAAATAGTTTTTCTTGTAAAAGAATGATAATGTAATTTTGATAATTAGCACCTTTAATATTGCATCATTATATCCTCTGCATATCTTCATATGGATGGATCTTTTGTGGTTTCACAAAGTACTTCAAGGGAGTTGACACTCTGTTCTCTGGCTTGTGATTGTGTGTGTATGTGTAGAGTATACCCACACAGGCATGGACACATATATTCTGTCTATCTATACGTAGTAAAAGAAGAAAAGCTGTACCCCATGGTATCTTTAATATGAAATATTCTTTATTGCCTACATTAAGTTGTCAGGAGGAGAGGTTGAGATTTGGAGTGGATGTTGAGAATATTCTTAATGGAATTATGATATTCAAACCTAGTTTTGTTTCTGCCACCTGATATTAGTGATACACTGGAAATGTCAAACTGTTAAGTGGAGGAGTTTTGTAATGAATTGGGCTAAATCAATGTTTTTTAAACTTTTTGCTTTCAGAGCCCCTATCCCACTTTTAAAAATTATGCAGAATCTCAAAAGAGCTTTTATTCATAGGGTTATGTTTATCTATACTTACCATATTTAAAGTTCAAAATTACACATTTGTAGGATATTTATTGAATATGCAAAAATAGTAATATTAAGTCCATTAGATAGTAACATTCATAAAATATGTCTCATGAAAAGTCTACATTAAAAAACAAACAAACTAATGATGAGAACAGTGACATCGTTTTGCAATTATCTTCAATATTTGACAAATAATTTTGATTTTGCAGACCCCTGAGGGACTTGGGGACCACCATAGGTCATTGTACCAGTACAAACATTATGACAGATAGTGGCATGATACAGATACAGACTTTATTTGTGTATTGGAATATTTTGCAATCCACATTTTAATTTGTTAAGAAAGTGCCATATAAAACAGAATTTTCCAGAAAATAACCTTGAGAATACAAAGTACTGTTCAGTATTGAAGTTAAATTGGTATGGGCCAAATTACTAGAATGAGAGTTTTTTCTTTACATCAATCTAATAGTCTAATAAATGTCATTTAAAATATATAGTATTGAATCAAATAGTGAAGGATCCTCTAGTGCAGGGGTGTCAAATTCAAGGCCTGCAGGTTAGATCCGACCTATGGGTGCTTAGATCTGGCCTGTGGGGCTGCCCTGCAAACATTGAAGAGCCGGCCTTGAAGAGCCGGCCTAAATACAGTTGTAGTTTCACTTAGGATATCTTATGATGACTTTCATTAATTATACAGATTTTTCTTTGGGGTTTTATTTATACCTCTTCCAAGCTACAGAGTAATTGTGTTGTTTTATTTTTGTGAAATAGATTAAACTAAGAGATGCATTGTCCAATATACCCAGTGACTGATTTGCTATAGAAAGCAAACCTAAGTTCAATACTCTTCATCCAAAGTACAAGAATGTGTTAAACTCCCTTGATTTATTAAGCATACAGTTGAGTTTCTCCAAATAGAGGCTATATTTTATTATTTGATACTAATAGCTGTTTTACTGGAAGAATAATTATCATGTAGTGGTCACATTTATTATATTTTATCCAGTTTTATTGGTATTTCTATTGAAGAAACTTCCGATTTTACTCGAAAGCAAAAATCTATCTTAAGCACTATATAAGTTGCATTTTTATCTGCAAATCAGAGTAATAAGTGGCCATTAATACTTACATGTAAGTCTTGCTTTTAGTGGTAATACTAAAAAAAAAGTATTCCTGTTGATGCATCTTGTAAAGAAATGTGTGTCTTTTTTTAGTACTTAGGTGTTTTGTGGGAAAGGAGGTGTTATGTCTTTTTTCAAATAATTTTAGAAACTACCTAAATTTTCTTGAAGGGTTTGTTCAATTGAGTGAATAATAACTATGATGACAAATGTTCCCTTTTAAAAAACCATTGTTATTTATTTGATTAGCATATGAATGCTAATCTTTTGAAAATAAATGATTGGGATGAGTATACAAAAGTCAAGGAACAGTTTTTCTGCCTTGTGACCGCCCACAGTTGTATATTGAAAGAGAGTTGTTGCAGTAGAAGATAATATATATAATTCCACAATGAATTGGTTGAATTCTTGGTGCTTTCTGAGCTTGTTTGTTTGTTTATAGATGTTTCGTTACCCAACTATGTAACATCAGTGTCCTCATCAGAGAGTTGTTGATTATTCTTTACTTCTCAACTAATTACATTAATTACATGGATTTCAAAGCATGGCAAAAATATAGTTCCATATTGTCATACAATTTAGATTTTATGAAACAATTTCCCAATAAATATCTTTTTTTTAAAAACACACAATATAATTAGTTTATCTCTAATTAAAAGGGTCCCTGGGAGCCTTGTATTCTTTTCCCACAATATATTCTTGCTCAGTTATTTTGTGTATTCTTGCAAATCTACCATAGCCAAGAAAAGAAATTGTATGCACACAAACAGACACACACCGATGAGCAAAACAAATGAGAAGAGGGCATATTTAATAAAGAGTTCCCTTAGGAAGCAACATTCGGCTAATATGGGCTGATTGCTTAACCTAACCAAAGTCAGAATTGGTTGGTATTTGGATCAAAAAATTCCTGAAGTTTTTATGGTTTTTGGCTAGATTGAAAATTTTAAAAAAAAAATCTCACAAAGTAGTAGAGGAACTCCATAACATTTCTTAGGGGGTTTGTGCAGACATCTGAAAATATACTTGATTCCATTTTTATTTTGGCTCCATTTTATGTTAAAGCTCAATATTCCAACTAACACTTAGCTGCTTAATATTTTCAGATGCAGATGGAAACTTGTGTAAAAATTACCAGCTCCTGTCAGTAATTTTAACCATGCATCGACTTATCATCTCCTCCTCTGAGATACTGCGAAAACTAATAGATCTATATCCTTTTATATTTTTTCAATTAATGCCTTAATTGCTGATCTAAAACTATGACAACACAATGATTTGAAAGTAATATTCCAACAAAGTATTTTTCTTTTACATTAGAAATAATATGTGTGTAAATCTCTCTATAATTTTTATATATTTAATGAAATATATAAACCGGGTCTCAAATATTCTTGATCTTATTTCAATCTACGATTTTGAAAAATCTGAACTTCAATTAGTAAGAACAGTAATGACTGTATAGATTTTCATATCAGAAAAATATTGTAACTGTTGTATGTCTTTGTTTCTACTTCTCCCCCCCCCCTCCCCAACCTTGTATTATTTGGAAATGTATGTATTCTCCTTGGAAAGTATTTTCCTAGCAGATTTTATATGTTTCAAAATGAAAAGTTACATTTGCCAAACTAGTTTGTATTGTTTTCAGTTTCTGTTTGTATAAATTTGCCTCACAGAATTTGTTGTGTATTTTATTCACAAAATTTATTTAATTTCAACTTTCTGATAATATATTTGATTAGCTTATTCCTCATGTAGAGTTTTAATATATCAAGCAGCTAGTCCCTTGTCATACTTTTGAAATTAAAGTAGATGTTAAATACCAGTTATTTTTAATCACTTAAAACATATTTAAGTCACAATAAATGAATGTTGGGTTAGGTAGGACCACATAACAAGGGATCTCTATTTATAAAAATGCAAAAGAAAAGAAAATTGACCTTCACAGCTGAATTAGAAATAGAAGACTGATTATTCTATTTATTTTCCTAGCAGGTATATTGAGAACCCTTAGTGCAAACTAACATTGCATGTACCTGATATGATTCAGTCTGTATATCTGTAGAATCACTCTTTTCTAAAACTGTAATTAGGTCCTTTTTTATTTCTGAATTTTAATCACCTGGTCTGCTGTAGGGCTCTTATAAGCTTTTCCATTTTTCCACATTATTGTGAATGTATATCTTATTTTTAAATTATAAAGGGAACTAGTCCTAATCTACAAAAAAATGAGTAGATAGTTGGGGGGTGGAGAAACTACTTATCTGAAGGGGCATCCCCAGTTCAAATAAACATGATAAATTAGTGATTATCTAAACAGAAATAGGCAGTTGGAGTTTATATGTGACCATTAGAACCAGAGTGAATAAAAATTGATTTTTTTAAAAAATCAGATTTTTAAAAATCTAATTTATTTTAATAAAATACTTTTGGAGTAAAAATCTATCTAAAGATAGTTTTCTATTTAAGATACATTAAACTTTAGTTTATTCAGCATGAAATGGAACTTAGTTATGATAGCATGAGGCTGTATATTCTGCAATATTGGGACTTCAGTGAGTCAACAGCAGGTCAGAGAAGGAGCTGCTGTGGGACAGATGACAGTTGCTCTTTAAAAATTATGATTTAAATCGAGTTGATTTATATCAAGCCTTTTTACTAGTGATTTAAATCATGATTTAAATTGTGATCTAAATCAACTCAGTTTAAATCAAATCCACCCTGATCAGAATTATATTTTAACCATCCTGATTGTATCATTTAATTTGGTGGCAGAATTGCCGAATTTTAGCAACATGATTTGAGAACTTTTTCAAATTTTCAGTTAGGTTTGAAGAGGGAAGTGGAGAAGTGTGCCTGTGGGTATTCTTCCTCTTCCATCTAAACTTTTCAAGCTAATACATCTGGCCAAGAAAGGGAATGAAAAAATTGTTTGTTTCTATTGATGAATTATAGCTCTTCAGACACTTAGAAGGCTGAGTTGTTGTGCCAGTGGCATATATCCCTATGATTATTTTCCCCCCAAATATCTGATTTTTAATTGGTCTTTCCTTTCTATTTGATAGCTGAAATTCCTTTGTATAATTTTCCTCTGGAATTTGCCTTCCGGGAACTAAAGTTCCAAAAGAATTTACTTAATTTTTATAATAATATCATGGTGGAAATGATGCAATGCACATTGCTTGAATAATGATATAATGATATGCATTTTATATAAATCACTGCAAGTATATACTTCTACATTTGACAGATATTTGTGAATAGCCTCCTAATATAAACACATTTTCTCTTCTAATTAAAATGGTATATTTTTATTGTTAATATGGCATTTAATTTATTATTTTTGTTGCGTTTTAACATATTTTCCTTAGCATATACCTACATATATGGGTGGCTTGAAAAATAATCCTTTGCTCTGCTGTAAGATATGTTACCTTGTGAGGTGAGAACACATTTATATATAAGAATTAACCTGCAAAATCTGTTTACTACACTTCAGTTCAATAGCTTTTGCATGTATTGGAACAGATTTTTCTGGTGATTCGTATAATTTGCATAATTCCATCAGTTTGCAAATCAGAAATCAGGTAATGTATATCATTTTGTTTCATCTTGCAGGTTTGTGCATTGACATTTTTGTGCAAATGAACAAAATTTCTACAATGACATACTTACATATTTAACGAACATATAATTTGTTAGTTTGTGAATCCTTCTTGTGAATATCCCATAGCCACCTTTCATATTTTGTTTGTTTGTCTTCACCACTGGTGAGATTCAGCCGGTTTGCACCTATTCGGGAGAACCGGTTGTTAACTTTCTAAGCAGTCTCCGGAGAACCAGTTGTTGGAAGAAATCTCCTTTTGTCGTCGTCCCCCCCCCACTTTATGGGGCTAATCCTGTAAGGAAGGCAGGAAGGAAACATTCTGGTGTTGTTTCTAGCTTCATCTTTATTGCCCTGCTTGCAGAAACTGCCTCTCTGGTTAACCCTTATGACATTGTCACAGCTAAGGTGAAGCGCCCATCGATGTGAGTAACGTTGAATTGGCCACATTCACATGGTCACATGACCACATGACCACCGAGCCACGCCTACCCAGATGGTCATTAGGGCAGAGAACCAGTTGTTAAATTATTTGAATCCCACTACTGGTCTTCACATATAGTTGGATATAGCGATAGTCTTGGCTCTACTCATTATGTTTTAGATTGTTACCAATATAATTTTAAACATACTTAACTGGTGCTGGGAATGAGCCAGATAGAAAATTGATAGAGATGAATTTTGAGAAAGCCTCCATAAGATAATACTGTAAGAAATGGAGAGCAGTTTTGTTAACAATCTTAACCTAATATGTAACCATATTTTAGTTGTTAATTCGTTTCAAATCACTGCATTTTATTAAATATGTATATATACAAATCAGAGGTGGGTTCCTACCAGTTCGCACCTATTCGGTAGAACCGGTTTGTCAAATCTACCGAACAGGTTAGAAGAGGTTCCACCAGTGGACCCAGAAAGCAGGCCACACCTACAGAAGAGGTTCCAAAATATTTTGAAACCCACCACTGATACAAATAGAAAAATGCTCAGGAAGTGCAATACAGTCATATATTCAAGTTCAAAGGGGAATATTTTCCAGAAATAAGTAGAAGTAGAACTCAAAAGTTTGAAGCAACCAAAAATTAAGAAGGAATTTGAGGAACACACTACTAAAAGTGAAAATGCCAGGTATTGCATTGTGATTAACACATAATTTATGTAAGGAAAAAAGTGAAGAGAAGTTTAAGATGCAGCTTGCTTTAGTCATAAGTAGAAATCAAATCTATTTATTTTTTGCCCAGGTATTTGAAACATATCTAATTAATTAAGTTAAATTAACACTGCCACTGCCATTAATTTTTATGCTACATTCATTTGCAACGTCTTAAGGAAGCACATATATGAAACATATAGGATAGATATATATCTAGAATAGATAAGAACCAAAGTGGTGCAGTGGTTAGAGTGCACTACTGCAGGCTTCTTCAGCTGACTGCTAGCTGCAGTTCGGCACTGGATCAAGGTTGACTCAACCTTCCAAGGTGGGTAAAATGAGAACCCAGATTGTTAGGGACAATATGCTGATTCTGTAAACCGCTTAGAGAGGGC